TGAACTCCTTTGAACACTCTTCCCAACTTCAGTCCTACCACAATACACAACCAAATTAATGGGACATTATGCGTCTGAACACAAAAGGGGTTAACTCCTCAAAACATTGGTCTGTGCTATTCTGTCCTTGTCTCCATTTTTAAGGATTAAATGTTGATAATAAAAAATCCAATTCCTTCCTGACAGAAGCTTTCTCATATCCTTCTTATTCTGAAAAATGAATTGGAAGAAGATGAAGCTGAGTTCTCTTACATTAAATCGGTGCCCTAATTTTCAGATAATCCCCATCGTGCATTTAACGCCAACCCAATTCGTTTTTTTTGTCTCCAGTCACCTTCTCAGACAAGCTTCTTAGGCATTCTTCTTCACTCACACGAACATACTTCTCCTCAATATCAATTACAAGGTTTTCTGCCTCCAAGATCGAAACTTTCACCAGCCTCCAGTTCCTCCTCCAAATTCATATTATCCATGCCTGAGATATCCTTATTCCCCATCACGCTCCAAGCCGAGGACTGCACGTTGGATAAAATAGCAAACAGTGAACTGAGGCCCAAAAACCCAACACCGAAACCAAGCCTCACTCAACCAAACCAAACCCGAACCCTAAGACTACCAATAACAACATCCACTAAGAGACCTAGTGTGTCCAGGTGGAAAAAAAAAAATGAGAAAAGAGGAGAGACCGGTGGTGTGTTTTGGGGGATAGGCAACCAAGTGGTTGAGTTAGTCTTATGATAAAGGAACCAATGGGATGGAGACACTTGTCTCCATCCCATTGGTTCATCTTTTTTTTTAATAATTTTTAAACTAATATATTTTTTATATAATCAAATAAAAAAATAAATAAATATACCAAAATTCATAATTTTTAATTCTACAAATAGAGATCAATTTTTCTTTACTTCTTTTTATTTTTAAATTGACATAAATATATAGTTTTTAAAGTCGTATGTTTTCTATATAATAAAATATAAATATGTTAAATCACATTACATAAATCTCCATCACTTCTCACAAAAGAAATGAATTTGAACCGTTTGTTAAAAGCAAAGCAAATAAAATAATTATCAAATAAAATAATTATATAATTATATTAAATCAAAGCAAATAAAAGAATTAATTAATAATTAAAATAAAATGAAATAAAAAAAATTAATAATTTAATAAAATCAAATTAAGAAAAAAAATGTTGTGGTTGGATGTCGGTGTGGTTGTTGATAAACTTGTAAAATTAAGATGATGTGGTTGGGATGATTATTGATGATGTGGAAGAGAGAGAAATTAATTAAATATTAGAGTGGTTGAATAGTTGGGTGTTTGGAACGAGTTGCTGTTATTCGCAGTCTAATAAACCAAAAGGAACCCCTGAACCCAATCGAAGAAAGAGACGAAGCTCCTACAAGAATAGATCTACGCACTCGATCAAGAGAAAAAACTCTCAGAAAGATAATGCTTTTATTGTTCACATCTTCTTTCATCTCCTATGATTTAGAGATGATTTTTAAAAGTAGAAAACACGAAAAAAAAATAAAAAAAAATAGCAATAATATCTCCAAAAGAAATAAAATTGGGATCCTTCGGAATATTGTAATCATCACGGTTGTGACTAAACGGTAATGCTTTATTTATTTTTTCACTATTCGTTTTACCTGAACATTAATTTACCTCGAGTTAAATCTGTACTTCAGATATGAAAGAAGGAAAAAAAATTCAAAGCAAGAATCGGCATCCAATCCAATCACGCCTGAATTCCCACCGAAATCAAACACAGGATCATTTGAACGTTCCTCCTTTTGATTAATGCGGGGCCAATCCGATGTTGTTAAAGTTTTTCTTTTTTTTTTTGGTACAGGGACCTTCCGATTTCCGGATCCACATGGAAACCGATTAATCCGGAATCGAGCCGGGTAGGACTACAAGGGCGGCAAAACTCTCCCTCAAGAGTTTTCACACTGCTGCATTCTCAGGGCTCCAACACGAGACCAGTGGTTAAGCTGTAAGAGATCCAAATCATCTCATCCAAGCGCTTTGGGTCGATGTTGTTAAAGTTAAACATGTATTCGAACGTTCAACACCGAAAATTAACCTAAATCAACAAAATCAAAAGTTGGGAAGACCAGAATAAAATCCAACCGTTGTAGTAATTCACAGGCCACCAAATGGCTATAAATACCCTCCTTTGATCACTCTTCAGATTAATAATTAATCTCTCTCTCTCTCTCTCTCTCTCATTTGAATAGTTGTTTTCCGGCGAATAAAAGGCTACTAAAATGGGAATTTCAAAGGTTGCTTTCTTTACAATCTATATGATCTTGTGTCTCATTTCTGCCGTGGTTATGGTGCAGGGGAACAGCATCGCCCTACCTCCAGCGCTGGCGCCGGAGCCGGGGCCTGTTGCCGGAGATGCCGTCACAGTGAGCTGTTCGAGCGCCTTCATCTGCTTCTCGGTCGCACTCGCCTTTGTTGGCATTTTGCTGCACTAATGTTTTGAAAAATACACAAGCACACATATGTTACATTACAAGAAAATACATATCATGCCGGAGGCCTTCTCGGTTGTTTTGCTTTTTAGTTTTTACTTTGATGGCGATTGTGTAGTTGAGGATATATCTGCTTAATAAATTCATTCAATTTTCAAGTTTTGGTGACTTCCATTTGGAGGATATGTTTATTTCTTAGTTTATTTTTTCATAAATCTCCAATCACCTTCCCATTTTGCTCGTCGTCAATCTTCAAATACTGATTTCTGCCTTGATATTCGGACATTTTTGCAGCTGTGTGATAATTGCGCGACTTATTGTTCAAAATATAATTAATAAAAGGCACATCACACAGCTCTCTCTCTCTCTTATTTTATTATGATAATGAAAGTATAACAATCTTGGAATATGATTATAAAAAGCACATCACACAGAGGACTTGTTCTATCATGAAATAGTATGGAAAAGCATTCTCCATATATATCACCATGAACAGCAGCTAAGATTCTTTTATTGACATGAATTACAACAATTTGTGAGTTCATGAAGCCCCATTTATACCCTTACAATTAATTCCTTCACTCCTTGACATGAATAACCGGGTCGAGAGATATCGGCGCAATACTAGGATCAGCCACCACGGCATCCAGATCCTCCCCACCACCACCACCACCTCCCATATAGGATTTGAGGAACGCAACCACAATCCCGCCGACACTTTTCCTCATAAGGTCCTTGGAGCCTTTCCCGCTTTTCAACATGCTTCTTATCATTGCAGCCGTCCTGTCTACCCTGTCGTTGAGCATGTCACAATGGCCGTAGTCCCTGGCGAGAAAATAACATGCAGGCGGCTTGCTCTCGTTGAAGAATTCCGAGTGGTTGACACCGTCTGGGGCGCCTGGCGGGAATAGCCCCAGTGACTGATTGCCGTATCCGGTCCCAATTATAGAGATGGGGACCGATATGTCAAAGATACGAGGGATAAATTCAAGGATTTTGGGGTCGGGCAGGGATGAGGGAGAAGAGCCTGCCACGGGTGAAGGTTCCATGCAACATGTAAAGCCCACAAATGAAGAATTCAACAATGCCCACAAATGAAGAATTCAACAATGGTTACACATTCACCAACCTTCCCATTTCACACCATTTTTGTCAATTATGGTGTGCCTTATTGTATCTATAAATAGGGTGCTTATTTCATTCATTCAAATCATCCTTAAGAGTGATCAATCAACCTAGAGAGTGTTGAAACACAACCAAGAAAGAGTTGTGGAGTGTTTGAGAGTTTTTTGTTTAGAGTTTGTAAATCTCTTGTTTTTATTCTTGTGAGTAATAGAAACTTGTTTTTCTCTCAAATTATGTTTATGATCTTGGGATGATACCACAACAACGGGGTCGATACCAATTAAGGCTCTGAAACTTGGCTTCGCCGTGTTTAGTTTTCGGTTGATTTTTCCGAGAGCTAGGGCGAACGCAGTCTTCCCACCCCTGCTGTGGCCCGAGAGAGCTAGTTGCTCCATGTCTGCATTGACCTTTTCAGGTAGGACGCTGGGGAGGCCCGTGGGTAGCCAGTCTGTAACCTGGGCAGCTCTTTTGACTTCCTCAGGAATTGAGATCCATATAAGGCCATAGAACTAGAGAAATACGAAAACAAACAAACAAAAAAAAAAACAATCAAGTTATTAATTTCATGGGGTTTACATTTAGGTGATCGATAAATTTTATATTAACAAGCAAGCATACCTTAGGAGCAACAACGATGTAGCCATGGGAAGCAATGTGTTGCAAGAGGCTGGTGTAATTCGTGTTGGCCAGCATGAAGCCGTGGCAAAAGAGAAGCACCGGATAAGTTCCCTTTACGGCCGGTGAAACTATAACAAGTTCCGTAGGAGGTCTCGAGGCGTTTGAAGTTCTCACTGTGAACGTGGTAACTTGATAATTTCCGGTTTCAAAAACATCAGACGGGGCA